ACAGCAAAGGCAATCTTTGCCAAGTTCTATGCAATAGCAACTGCCTAATGCTCCTTGCAGCATCTCTTCTATGAATCAACATAACCTTACTGTGGGAAAAAAAACATCTGAAATTTTAGGAGAGGAAAGATCTCAAAATTTAAGTTTTACCTCAGAAGCTACCACAGAATTTTTCTATGGTGAGTCAACTACACCGACCAGCAATTCCACAAACAATAAAAGTATGAGCACGGAACAATGATGCTATCTTATCTCTGAGTGCTTGCTTTAGTAAGGGAAATTATTACAACATACACTGGCTGATATTATCTACCCAGCTATCCACTAAAAGATTCATTCAGATTTTGCTGAAGTCTACACATCACCAACAGACTTGTTAGCAACAGAATTCTTACGAATGTATGAGCCGGAAAGGGAACAGCCAGTTGCTCAGCTTCTAGGAGTGAACTGTGGGACCTGGTAATAAAGAATATGGGGGGGGAAGAAGAAAAAACAAAAGTCTCCTTGGATTTGAAAATGATAACTAACATTGATCCCCACACCACCATTTTTTTTTTTTTGTATTCAGTTTTCTGAGAAGAGCAGTTTAGCTCCAAGGAAACAAACCCATCTCTCTAAAGAATTAATATATCATAGAAGCAACAGGTTCTTTTGTTTTGAGATACAGCATCTTTAAGAACATTCTGCCCTCTGAAAACAATTATTCATTCATTCTTCTTATTTCCCTTTGTGTTTTCTTGTTGTATTCAATTTATAGATTTTTTTAAAGTTCTGTAAGAAGAAAAAAAATGAAATAAATCAACACAAAAATAGCAAAAACCCCCCACACCCATGTGCTTAAAGCGTGTTCAAAGCAGAGTTTTTGCTGGTTTAGAAAATGTTTAAGTGAGTGTTTGAGCTCTCCTAGACAGTTAAACTGAAATTCTGAGTAAACTTCTTAGAAATGTCAGTAATCTAGACCCACAGGGCAGATTTTTAAAGCATCCAGCTCCTACATGTCTGGTTTCCCTAGCAAAATCTACCACCTGCACTAAGCACTTAAGCTGCAATGGGACATCTGGGAGCATGTTGCTGAAAATGGGATTATCAATTGCTGGAAAGCTGATCTTGGAGCTACAAAAATATTAGGTAATGGGAAATGCTGAGAACTGGCTGTGATTTAACTCTCCTTCCTCTTAGGATTCGATGACTGCTTATGCATGTCAAAGAAATGCCCCCTTCCAATACACAGCTCAGGTATCCTTGAATTACTATGCAGAAATATCTGAACAACTTTACGGAGAAATGTAAGTCAGTGCAACTGCATACTGGAATCTCATTCTAGGTGAATTTTGTAGATTACGTGTTAGACTACCACTGAAATGTAAGTGTGTGTATGTTCCCACTCTCCCTCGTCCCTCCATGTATTCCCTGCCATGAAGTCTTTCTTTCATTCTGGTGTTCATCAGGTCCTACTCTGAGACCTACATTCTCACATTCTTTCTATGCACTTGTGGTAGGAAAAAAAATAAAATCCTTTAAAGAGACAGCACAGTTGGAGCCAGTCCAGCTTCTCCAGTGAAGTGCCTTAAGGGCTAAACACTTTATCAGTAGTGCGAAATCTGAATTCAGTACTCTTCCTTAGCCTGAAACATTAAAATCCACCTTTCTTAATCACCAGAATGGTGGAACTTCCCCATCGACTCAAAATTGCACCAATATAATAGAAAATATGAAGGACTACTCTAACTAGATTACATGATCCCACAGACTTATAAGTGGGGCGGTCTTTCCACACACACATCAAAAAAAAAAAAATCAATTTGTCAATCTTGCTTTAAGTTACTTAAGTAACTTAGATGCTTCTGAAAATTTCGCATGCATCAGCAATGCAGAGATGTCACAGAAAAATTATGGTCAATCATTTATACACAAAAGTATGCATGAAACTAGATAACAGATTCTACTTTGATGTTTATATTAAAAAATAACACTATTATTTAACAGTCTATGAACTTCATATTTATTTGGTGCTCCCTCTTCCCTTTAAAGGAACAAAAGCTTTTGAAATGCCAAACAAGTTTAAAAGAATTAACGTGGATGAAAATTCTCTCTCAAGGACCAGCAGCTTGTGGGTTGATGTGGGGAACTACCTTTGCTTGGAACTATAATCCAAAAGAGGTACTCTGACACACTGACAAATGCATTGTGTGGGGTCATATCATGATATTCTGCACAATTGATTTATAAAAGGTTATGCCTAGCGTACATATACAAAATATACATATTAGAGCTGGCAAAGGATTTTGTTCAGTTGAACTGATATTACCACAAATCTCCTCTTCATCAGTTATTGTTTGCACTGACATCCAATATGTCATTCGTAAGGACTCCCTGCTTCTATCTGGCACCAGTGTTTGCCAGAGTGGCATTCACACATCTCTGAATACCGAGGGCCACCCAGCAAACAAACACAATCCCAGAAAGGGGCTAAATCAAAGGAATATTTTAGGACTGTAATTAAATTGAAAAAAAAAAATAAATTACCTACACCATAGTAACTGCTGTACCTCTTTTTTTCCATGTGCTTTTCCCAGTGTGTTTTCTCTTACTGCTGGTCTGGGTTGGTGTTTCTTCACTCAATATGCAATTATTTCCACCCACCACTTTACACAGGGCTATAAGAACTTACAGAAATTTTAAGCTCTACAAGTTTTAAATCTTGTAGGTCATAGCATAGACAAGACATGCCAAGGTTTCACCAAATGTCTTTTCATTAAAAATTACATCTGCTGGTGGAATAGCTTTACTGTTTGACAAATGAAAAAAAAAAAGTTTCATAAACTGTAAGTTAAACCTGAAACAACACATTGAGAGGACTATTGTATGATGTGTCCCCAAGTTTTCAGAGCCAAGGCTTAAAGTAGATCTGATTGGGGAAAAAAAAAAGAAGTAATTTCTTAATTACAACCAAGAAACATACGGTACAAATACGATTAAATTCATTCACATGCATAAATAATGTCTAATTCCATAATCTGACTCACTGTGCATCCTAGAAGCTAACAAGAAAAGGTATTTAATGATTTTCCTGACACTATGATTTTGAACCTCTTGATTGCTGAAATGTGGTCTAACAACCACTATGTCACAACTTATAGCAGATCCATTATATACATGTGTATGTTTTTTTTAAGTTACATGAATGTGTTATACTACTTGCATTCTTGGTTCCTCTGATATCAACTTTTAAGAAAGGCAAAAGAACACCTATAAAGTAAAAGCCACAGTGATGGTAGTTTGGAAGAAATCTAAATGTTCTGAACTGCAGCAAATTTGCCAGTGCTGCTAAACAAAGTCAATGATCACTGGCAGAGTCAGATGTTTGGAAAAACTTCAGTATGAAAACAGGGTCCGCGTAAAAATCAAGTAGCCTAGTACATACTCTTTTTCTAAACTTTCCCTTTTTAAAATGGCATAATACTTCACAGTATTTCAATGTAGCAAATATAATTATTTCTTTGAAAAGCCTGATGATTCTGCTTTTTGCTTCACTATGTGTGAAAGGAACATGGCCACCACCTAAGCTGGTCTGTCATTTTTATACAGATAGATATTCACAACACAGCAATAAACAAAGATATAGATACATATGGATAGAACACTAATTTTAAATGTCTAGGAAACCAGATTATCCTGAATGGTTAACATTTTACATTCCAAATGCAAAGTTAATGTATTAAGGCTATTACAATTCTAGATGCTATAAAATGGTTTCAGTAGAATGGTCATGTAAATTGAAAAGAAAACTGATGTCTCTTCAGATTGGAAATCGAGAGAAAATTTGCCCCCAGATGAGAAATTCCCTATCCAGTCAATGCATCTGTCAGTCAAGCATGTTTCTTCCTAGTTATGTGTCTTTGAAAGAGCAGGGATATAGGTCATTGTCAAACGCTATCAAAATGAGAAAGCAGCTTGTCATAGATGAGTCTCAACCTGTCTGCCAGTTTGTGTAATCTGAATTATTTGTTCAAAGATATCCTTCTGTTCATCTGTAGTCTCCATTAGTAACCGAAATTCTAATTAAATTACAGAATGTAGGAAATGCATGGCCCTCACTGGTGCAATAGCCAAGTTTGTCTAGCACACAGTGGTAGAACTCGTTAATCAGAAAAAACATAGTTAGAATAAAATGTACACATTCTGTCCTCATCCATTTCTCGAGTACACCAAGAAAACTTGATTTGAAGATGCATAACTTTGGTAACTGGCTGCTTAGCATGGCCCTTCACAGATGTCACACACTGATGCGACAGAGGAAAGGACTCAGAGATTGCTCACTATGAATACATAGAGCCTATAGGCCTGCGTGACATGGGACACTCAGGAAAATTAATTCTAATTAATTTGTACAGTGAGTTGGTTAAAAATCAAAATATTCCTTTGTCAATATTCTCACAAGAAATTAAGAAGCGAGTTTAACTTAGTTTAGGCTAATTCACTTCACTTGCAGCTCTGCAAGTATTTAACATTGTTTAAGTGATCCCCTGTAAAACTCACACTTTTGGTAATTTAGTTAAATTTACCTGAGTATCTAAGTATAGACAAGACATTAAAAAGGAAATGGTCATTAACTACCACTTCTCTGTAAAGTATGAAGGATGCAACTTATCTGGCTTTGTTTAATCATAGACATCCTCAGTTAATGAATAAAGGCTCTGATGTACTTAGTTAAAACGTAGTCTCGCATGAATTCTGTTCAGCTGGGGGAGAAAGGAGAGGGAAGTCACCTCTTCTTTTAGAGAAATGATCAAATGAGTTATGATCAGGCACATATTACTGTATCTGCCAAAGAACATATACATGGGACATCAGGAAAAACTTAAAATAAACTGCACAACTTTGTGAAATGTTCAATTTTTATATTTACACTATAATTAGTACAAAATTGCCTTTTAAGTTTTTTGTACCACAAGACAGCATCTACTGAACTTGATACCCTAATATGTCAAAACAACTACTTTGAAGTATGATAAAGGAATCTAGGAGGAGTTATAAAGAATAAGACACCATTTTCAAACTATACATAGTGTTTGCTTTTGCTTCTAAAAAGGTACTTATATCCCCAAAAGGTTTTTAATTTTAAATAAGCAGGGCGGGTGGGGGGTGGGGTGGGGAAAGACTGGTTGTTGGTACTAAAGCCTTTACTGTAATAAACTAAATATATTTACAATTTATACAAATGTTTGACCTTCAACAAAAATACAAAAACATATCACACTATGCAAAACCAGGAAACAAGTTCATCTGAGACACCACTGCTCTACACAGGACAGAATGCAACTTGAACTGCAAGGAACAGAAAGGTATTTATCCCCCATATTCAGGCAATGAGAACAATTTGCATGAGGTCACAAAGAAAGCAAAAAATAAAAGGCTCCAACATTCTTCAGTAGACTCGGCTTTTAAAAACTATGTCAAAAACCTAGGCTACATCTGTCCATCTTGCCTCTGTGATCCATTTGGTCCACGTAGCCAATATTTAGTTGCTGGATGTTGCCTTCTATTTTGAAAAATTGGAGTAGTTTCATGGCAAGGTCTGGAACCTCAATACTTTTGTTCCTTTTTAAAAGGCAAAACCTTTCTACTTCTACAATTAAGACCAATTTTGGCCCAGTTCAACTTCTAAAAGTTATATCCCCATCATATTTTTCAGTAGATAACTTCATAGACTGTAGCCTTTTTGTCTCCAGAGCCAGTGACTATGTACTTATCATCCACAGAGATGTCACAGCTAAGCACTGACGAAGATTCTTTGGACTAGAAGAAAAATAGAAATATATTACATCATTTAAAAAAAAGTCTGTCACCCTCATGTCAGCATCCCATTTTGGGTGGATCACATAGGTGAAGATATCCGAGTCCACTCTTTCGGACTCTGGGCGTTCTAGTTTTTTCTTTAAAAGCATGATCATCCTCACCTGGAAGATACTGGCTCCGTAAGGAGTTCTCCATGCATTAAGAAGGTTATCTTTCCCAGTACTCACAAACCATTTACCTAGAATATAAACCAGAAGGCCTATGAAAACATACGAAACAGACATCTGACAGATTTTTGATTTTCAACTCACATCTATGTTAACTAATCTGTTAATTAATTACTGTTACAAAAGCTCTCACCACTAATCAACACAGTACTTTTGCTTACAATCAGTGTGGACACTCATGTTTTTGCAGTGTGTTCCGTACTAGAAAATCCCCAGACTCTCTAAGTAGAAACAGCTTTTATACACAAATCAACCCTCACAGCAGCCTTTAGACAAATGGATGGTTGTTTGTAGATAAGTACATTTTAATTCATAAAGCAGAGATATTTATTCATAACTTAAGAAACTGAGATATTAAGTAAGTTTTGATTATCAAATGAGCTATGACTACGTAATAACTAATCAGCAAAGCATGAATTAGAGCCCTGACCTCCAGTTCTGTGTTCAGGGCAACTTACCACAGTAAGCAAACTTGAGTGACAATACACAACTCTCATGAAGGTGTAGTTGATATTTGTCTGGTTTATTTACATGTAGCACTTCTACGTTGCTGCTCTCCATTCCCACAGCTAGCCATTCACCAGTAGGACAATAACCAAGGGAAAATATCTGAAAATTAAACCACATTTACACTTTTTTTCCCCCTACAGATTCTTTTTTTTTTTTTTTTTTTTTTATGGTGGTTAAATTATTTGGGAGAGGGAGAGAGAAAGGCCAAGTAAAATTCACATAGTTCAATAGCAAGACTGCTGTTCAAAATTCAAGTCACTAAATAACCCATTTTTACCTATTAACTTAGAAAAATAGGGAGAGAGAGTAGTGTCAGGCTATCGTTTTGTTCTGGAAGCTAAACACGAAAGCTCCAAAATATTGTGTTGTGTGCGGCCAAAAGGAAGAGAGGGAACAATCTGCCAGTTGCACTGGGCTCAATCTCACTTTCATCCTAAATGTTTCCCTCCCACTGCACACACCCGCCCCCCTCCCCTACCCCCAAGCTGTAGGAAAACCCCGTTACCTGTGATGTGAAGTCGTGCTGTTGTAGCTGTCTCCCCTCTCTCAAGTCCCAGGATCTGACAGTGTTATCCAAACCTCCTGTCCAGAGCTTGGTACCATCATTAGAAATGTCAATACAGCTGGCTCCGTCTGTGTGGCCCTGGAATTGCCTGATAAAACAAACCAGATTGAATAATGATTTCCTGCCAGAGCTCAAGGTAAACACTGTTGTGGTGTTAGTTTTGGACTCTGTATGTGTGTGTCATCTCTTCTGTGTCTGCTGATGGGCAAAAATCAGCCCCTCCTTCTTACTGAGCATGAAATACAACAGTATTACAAAAACATTTTCCAGGTGCTAGAGAAATTAATTGCATCATGGCTAGCTGAACAAAGTCAAATATTTCCTATCAGGTTTCGAAAAGAAAGAAAAAAAGGTTATGAGAACATTAAAGTACAATAACTATAGTTAAAAGCACTAAGGACAACTCAGATTAAAACAAGTGCTGAGGGAACAAAACTACTCCAATTTCAGAAAACAGCTTCTGTATTTTTCTTTGGCTGCAAGTCAAGATGATAAATAATAAGCAGAGATATTAATAGGAGGGTATCCAGATAGAGATCCAGATAGTTAAACACATGCATTGCTGAGTCAGCAAAGTTGCATTCTCTGTGGCAGGAGATCACAAAAATCTAAATGGTGCAGTTTGTTTTAAAACCTTCTCACTAGTAATTCTCAGCTTTCATCAACCAAAAGGTCATCTCAAGTTTTCCTTAATCCTTTGGCAAAAGCCTTCTGAGGCTCCTGCATTTTTCATCAGCAATTAGCTTTAGGAAAGTCCTATGCCTCAATGTGAAAGGTGGAGGGCGGGGTGGGGGGGAAATACAACCACCTTGGGAATGAAGGGTATGAATCACTAAGAGCTGCCACAGAAAGGTCACACGGCACATTTTGTTTTGTAGCTCTGGTCTCAAAATTCCACATGTTATCAATTAGCAAGATCAGCCAGCAAGTGGTGGGAACACCTACAGCAAACATTCAAATGGCAAGACAGTCATAGATGGAGAGAGTGCACCTTTACAGGGACTAAGCATGCATAGGGCAAAATGAAGATTTTATATAACTAAAATATTCTTTGTTGACCTAAAAGTTCAATAGAAAGTAAAATTTGCATGCATTTTAATGTAGCTCTCTGCACATAAGTTTAGGCTAATTATTGATATACAGAAAATTTAATTGAAACACAGCAGACTAAGCAGATTCTTCAGTGTTTGTGTTCGTAACTTTTAAAATATAAACTTTAAAATATAAAACTTGCCCAATTTAGGCTCTCGTCATAATATTGTAAGCCACCACTACTTTGGTAAGCATAAACCAAAATCTATCTTCTAGTAAACCACACAGCTAGTTGCTAAGAGCCAATTCACGCATGGTCCTATCTTTCTTTCTCTGTCATAGCACTAATGCCAAATATTGACCTGCCAGACACTTTAATCTTCTACTAATATATTCATTAATAAAAGGTCTAACAAAAGATTTCAAAAGTAATTTACATGGCAATCCATTTATTATACTCTTTGCAACCCATTCTAAAAGTTTTAGAGATCAAATTCCCCAAGAAACCTCAAATACTTTTCTCTCATGAATTACCAAACGTCAGTCCTTTATGCTTTCCTAAAGAACTGAGGGGATACACACTTTCAACTGCTTTTGTAAGATTAATTTTATTACTTATCACTAAATAAGAACTGAAAATTCTCTTTATTATTTAACCCCAAAGAATTCCCTGAAAGGCATGTTCAGCCTACATCAATCATAAACCAGCAGCAGAACTGCTGCTTGTAGAAACCTGCAGACAAATCCCAACTAACCGAAACCAACAAGAACTTTTACAGTGACTGCAGTAGCTTATGGGCCAACCCTTTAGGCCCTGAAAATGCATCTTCCAAGTCCAGGTTAAAGCTACCAAAACTAGTTTCTGCCCAACTCGGGTGCAAACTGCATTCTTTGGATAAGAAATACTATTTACTTTGCTGTCATGAACCACTATTCAGGGAGATAAATATTTATGTAGCTGTCCAAAACGTAACTTCTATTAAAATTTTATGTAAACAAATAATGACTCACCTGACCAACGTCTGATTGTGCAGATCCCACACTGCGATGTTCCCATCACTGCAGCAGGAGAAGCACACCTTGGAATCAGGGCTGATAGCCAGAGCGTAGCAGGCAGGGGCTGAGGATGTCAGCTCTGCTTTTATACGAGGAGTTGGTGCTGCCAGGTCCCATATGGATAATGTGCTGGCTTCCCCACCAACTATTAGGGTGCATCCATCAGGCAGCAATTTACAAGAGCGGATGTAGTTATCTCTGTTCTGTACAACACAAATCACCTCAGTTATGTTAATACATGCCTGCCAGTAATGACCACTAATATGATTCTGATTGCATCCAAGTTTTAAACAGTACGCTATTTTTTCCATTACCAAAGTACTGAAGAGGAACCAGCAGATCCTAAACGGTTTCAAACGCCTACTTCTCATCACCAACCAGAGACTGCAGCTGCAGAAATTAAACTGCAGACTTCTGTTGCCACAGTGTACTCTGTTTTAAACCTGACGAATGGCAAGTCTTCTGTCTCATTACATAAAAATAGAGTCAAAGTAAGCTTGCATTTCTGCAAGTGCACTCCATCAGCTAAGGTCACCAACAACAGAAATATTAAAGCAAATGACCTTTCATTTGGCATTTAGGCAACCCTATATGAAAATGCAGTTCAAGTCTCATGCCTTTCAGGTTTTGGAGTTTTCTTTCAAACACTATTTTGCATTCACTGTTTTAAAGTTAAAATATTAAGTATTCCCATACTGGTCCTGGATCTATGTTGGTCCTTTGTTGTTCAACATGATTCTTTTCATATTTATATTATTAGTTTCGCATTTGTGATACTATTGCTGCTTGAGAGGTACTACAGGGGATTTAGAGGCAGAAAATATTTCAACCTTCTTTTGTTACAAGCTGTAATGGCTGCCAAATTAACACAGTAACAGTTCTTTAGGAAATTGAGGGTTAGGATCTGTAACTCAAAACATACCAAAAAAACCACTGCAAGAAGTAGTCAACAGCATTCCTACTACTACTACTATTTTTCATTCACAGCACAGGAGGAGTAAGTAGTGCAGTGGAAACACTGGCTTAGTTAGCCATTACTGCTCCATAACTAAAATGAAGGCAGCTAGGACTGTTCATCCAGACACATACCTGCCACAGCACAGAACACATATTCAACCCTACTTTTACTGCTAGATAACTAACATAAGGGTAGCAGTAAATAAAGGGTAAAGGCTAAAAAAACCAAACCCAACAAAAAAACCCCATCACATTTAATTGGATCAACACTGAAGCTAGAATTATTTTCATTCAGAATATATATTACTGTGCCTTATGGCATTAAGTCTCCCAGTTAACATTTCACAAATGTCTATGCTGCTTTTAATATGAGAAGCATCTTTTATTGAGCCATTAACTTTTTTGAGTTAGCTTTTCTGCTACCTATGCTACCACACTCAGTCCCATTTGTATCCTCCAGACATGAAAGCAAGCAACCAAAATGTGTAACTTGTGGATCACCAGCAAAAGCTTAGTGAGACTTTAACTGACCTTGGTACCTCGTCACATTATTTCATTATGTGGTTGCTACCCTCTTACAAAAAAGAGGTACAGAGGTTGTCACTCCTGGTGTGAGTGAAACACCTAGGATGGTTCTGTGCAGCCCTGCATAAGCCAGGCTACATTCCTTTTAAACTCATGCACAAAAATCATCAGCATGACTAGAATGGGGGGGTGGAGGGGGGTGTGTGTGTGTGTGGAATCAGGTACACTCTCTACTCAGAAATCTTATCTAATCTGTTATTTGACCTTTAGTGATGATATTTATCCCTAAACAAACCAGCGCTCTTCTCTGTAACTCCACCTGTTATGTGTTAGAAAAAAATACAGCTAAATACATAAAGCAGGAAACAGAACTGCCTGCTATTTCCTTGTAATATGAACAAAATCCAGACAAGGCCAGCTATTTCCTTATTGAGTCTCCAAGGAGAAGCTACCCTTGTGCACAAGTTCCTATTCACCTACCAGGCAGTCCAGCTGAGAGACAGGGCTCTTGTTGCCAGGCTGGCTGATGTCCCAGACTTTGACGCACCCCTTCCCGCCCGTGTACACATGTCTTGTGGGGTTGCTGATGGTAACTGCACACACAACTTCCCCGTGGTTCAGAGTGTTGATCTGACGGGCATGGCGAGGGATTCCCGGACCGATGAGGGCGTCAGGAGGGAAAGGAACCGGCTGCATCTGACCATCTGCAGTAACGTGAAAGGAGTAGGCTCTTTGGGGAAGGGAATGAATAGAGAAGACAAAAAAAAAAAAAAAAATCAGCCAGTTACAGTGCTATAATGCAAGAAAAAACACAGTATTTTTTAATTTGATTTCTTTGCCAATCTTTTTCTCATGAAAATCAGAGCTACATTGCCAAGTAATACAGGCACATGAAACCTCAGAGGGAGACAAGGATTCACAATAGATATTTTCAGCTTGTCTCAACTGAAGTATTTGTGCAGTGGGGAAGCACATCAAATTCTACCCTTAACTCTATGGACCAAGGTCATGGCTGCTATCCCTCAGCCACCTGGATAATCAAAAGATCTTTCACAGCCCCTGGTTTCTAGCCAGCCGTTCCAAGTCTCAGCACCACAAGTCCTGCAGCAGCAATCCCTCACCAGGCACTACTCTCTTTCAGCCTTCTTCTATGAGACTTGCACCTGTTGCCTTGCAGTGGCGCTAGCCAACGTTCAACTTTTGCTCTGTTTCTGCACCTCATCTTTAACATCAGCACCAGCTGTGCTCACACACCTCTCTTTCCAGCTGGTAACTAGTGCTTTAAACAGAAAATAGAAACAAGCAAAGTGGTTGCACACATCTTTCATCAGAAAGCTGATACTATCTTCTCATAATTATGTTTTCTTGAACAAGTATTTTGGAAAAGCTGAAAGGCTCAGTTTCCCATGTAGTTTTGGTACTTCTGTAACACCTTCTATTTGTATTCAGTGCATGACTTCAAGTATATGGAAACTGAGGGTTGAGGAAGTGAATCCCAGCACTGAATAAAAACACTCTTCCTTGGGGAAAGTACACAAAATTATTTCTTCATGTTTACTGTGATGTTTAAAGTCAGCTCTACTCAAGGACAAGGGTACAAATAGCAGCTAATAAAGGTTCAGGTGCAGGGGGGGGTTTCTTTGTTTTAAATAATAATGAAAATACTACTGCAAAAGGCTGCTTTTTGTTTTACTGGTGACTGTTTGTTTGTTTTGCTGCTTCTGTTTTAAGCACATCCATAGTTCATGTTTTTGATGCTGCTGTTACATTAACAGCATTCTTCAAGAGGCCAAAGTGGATAAAAAGGGTCAGATATGAGTATCCTTTCTTTTTTTTTTTAGTACTGAGCTACTGTCTCCCTAGTGATACATTTATTTTTCTAATATTTTCTTGTGTTCAGAATTGCCCTTTTTTTTCCAAATGTACCTTATTCCTCAGAAATCTTCAGTCACTGTAGCTCAAGTATTGCATCCCTCTTCCAAGCATCCAACAATACATAATTCAATTTAATCTTCTGTTCTGAGCTCTGAGCTAGTATTTTCAAAGTATTTTATTGCATGTTTCCAAGTATTGCACAGTTTGAAAGGAAGAAACAAGCAAGATGCCTGGATCCGTAACAGACATCACAAAGCAACTGAATATACCCAGGAGCAGAGCAGAAGATTTCCTTTAAAAAAGAGTGAGAAGTGGAGAGGTGGAGGAACTCTACAGTTCTTTCATACAGAAGGTAACAGTGGAAACCATCATCCCATGCAATATCACAGTTTTCTCAGAAAGGAAGGGTAAAAACTGGCTAACAGTAAACTGCTATTAAGAAATTAATAGTGCATATACATGCAATTCCTGTTTCATGGCTGGAAATGAGAGTTGAAAGGCTGCTTAAAGAATAAACAGAAATGGAAGACGAGTGAGTGCAGATGACAAATCTGTCATGGAAATGTCAGGAATGGGAAATGCAAGATAAGAAAACAAGTGCAAAGTTCACTCCCTTACATGTATGCAAGATGCACAGTATATCAAATGTATTTCTTCCCATGGGACCCTTTCTCTCCTTTTGTATGAAGAATTACATACAAATGTATATAATGATAAAGCCTTAACTAGAAATCTGTGTTATTTCTGTGAAGAGGAGTAGAGAGAGGACTGTCTCAAAGTAGTTATTCACTAAACAGATGAGACACAGGATGGGAGAGGAAGCAGAAGAGGAGTGGCAGCAAGACTGCTTGAGGCTGAACAACTGCTTAGGATCAGGTACAGAATCCAACTAAAGAGTCACACAGCACTTAAGAGGCTGAAAAGCTGGGCCCCATCCTGGCCTCCAGATCAAAGTCAGCTGCAGAACATTTGTGAGCAGTAAGAGTACACAGAACTGCACAACTTTGAAGTCTCAGCCTGCCCTTGCTTTTATCATGGACAGAAGAAAAACAATTAAGCAAGTATTAAGCAATGTTTTCCAGCATGTTTAAGATGAATAATCCACTTGTACGTGATTATTTTAATGGAAGGTTACAGCGTAAATGTTCCATTCAATTCAAAATACCTAAATAATTGGTGTTTTGAAACGCTTCTGTGCATACACACAGCTTCTCAGTTCTTGCTGAGATAGGGTAGGAGGAAGATAATAGGAACATTTTTCAAGTGCTTCATGCATACTGTAGAATTACGATGACTCTTCTGCTCTGAAATGCCAGAGACTTACCCAGTGTACTTTTAATCATGTAGAATTTTACCAGTATGCTCGTGTTTAAAGTGTGGCTATATAGACCATAAAAGTAGTCCCTCTTTTTTATCATCATGAGCAGGCATTTGCTTCCAAGACAGGATGACTGAGTTTGAGGGCCTAACAAACAGACCAGCAAGCCAAGACAGCTTTTTCTACAGTGCAAGTTATCAACAATCCACTGTGTAAAGACATGGATGGCTACACGTTGCCAAATCCCTCTGCCCCTGCCAAGACAAGCACACAAAACAGTAAATGTTCCCATCTGCTTGAAGATGTGTGGCATGTCATGCTAACATCACCACTGTCAGCATACTTATGGTGGTCTAGTAACTTGTACCTACTAGGTATTACGGTATAACTTTTCATTACCCATACTTTTTAACTTTGAAAAAACTTGCATCATTTGCAAGACTGACACTCCCTAGACAAGGAAAGCTTCCATCTCCAGAAGAACACAGTGCTGGAGACAGCAGAGCAAACGACTTTTTGCAGCTCAACTGCTGTCGTTCTTGGCTACCTCTCCCTCAGGTCACCATGACTGCTTCTGGGAAGGACTGTACTTCCAGTGCCACACCTACAAAACTGTAGGTGTACTTACATATGATTAAGAAATGACTCAATTTTTAATGCACTAGATATATTCACAGGCTGAATTCTCAAAAATGACAAGCATTTTGGTTGTCCAATCTTAAGAGTCAATATTTAGTAAAATTTGGTAAATTCTTGAGTTCCCTAAAGCTCAAGGTATTTCTTGACAGGTACCCCTTGACCACCCATCTTTCTCCTCAACAAATTGCTATTGACATCTGAATTCCATAACACTGCAAAAATGCAATGTGCATTTTCGTTCTTTTACAATGATCTTTGTGAACTGACAGTGTATGCCAGAAATTGCTGCTCAGCTTCACGATGATCATGGATTTTTGTCTCACTCACAGCATTCTGCCTCTATAAAATGTCTGGGTTCCATGATTATCCATCTTTGGTGAAATGACTGTTAGCGTTAAGATAGCCCTTCCTCATGTTGGGCTAAGAATCACAGCGAACAAAGAAAAAGTTCTTATACAATGCAATTACAATTGAATAGGAAACAAGCTGAGTATATAACAATTAATATGTAAATATACACTTGTAATTAATTGCATACTATGAAAAGAACAGTTACAAGACAAATTTGCCTGCCTTTTATTTAGCAATGAGTCCTGAGAAACAGTATACTGTCACTTCTTATTATATTCTTTCTGAATAACAAAAACATTCTTGTGATCTATTGCATCCAAAGACTCCTCATCTGTGTCAAAGCAGCACTGAGAGCCTGCAGAGTTTCTATGTATCACAACATAGTAGGTGATATTAATACAACACAGTTTCTCAGCTTAAATCCGGTAATTACGGCCCTCCAATTTCCACATAGATATCAAATAAGTATACAATACGTAAGTATCATCTGCCATGCTGAGGAGAGTTCAGAATAATTAATTCACTGCTCAAGAACACGGCAAATCAACTAAACTACCTAACTGCCAGCTACTCTAAGTATTCAGACTGATATAATGGATGCAATTCCTGCCTACTTAAAGTAACATGCCTTAAAGAAAAAAAAAGGAAAAAGGAAAAAAGCTTCCACTTCATCCCTCCAATTCAAACAGAATTCCTTAACTTGCATAAAAATAACCCAATGGCAAAACACAAAAGCAGACAGTTCCTTCTACTGATGACTGTATTTTACTTTCAGCTCTTCTTTGTACTCCAGCTTCTTTTTAGTTGTAGTTATCACAACAAACAGTGAATATCTGAGTATGGTGTTTCATTATATAGGACAAAATGCCAAGAAATAAGGATAAAGGTACTTGTACAGAAATAACAAAATATTTAACTTCATACACGTCATCAAATAATTCTATCCAGAGGTACAAAGGGGGGAAAAAACAATTTGTTATTCTAGAATGTAATAAAATTAGGCTTCCTTTAAGATTTTCCTCATTGTACATTCATTGAACAAGTATGAAGATCAGGAGAATTGAAGTATTTTAACTTTTGCCTTGGGCAATTCCAGAACGGTATGTTATTCTTTTCCAAAAACAAAAAGAGAAGTCAGCTTATAACTAGAAGTTGAAAGAGTTAACCTTTACCACATGAAATTTCCCTTTCCTACTAAAACGAGAAAACTGTATTTTCAGCTTTTTCTGGTGTCTACATATAACATCCCATGCTTCAATTAAAACCACATTTGGAAAAAAATACTGAGGAATACATTTGTCCTCAATGCTACCATTAATTCACAATTTTAGACAGCAGGGAAGTGATACTGTGGACACAAATCTTACCACTGAGCTTCAAAATCTGCGTTCAGTGCACAATCCAACTATTAGAAAGTATGGTTCACATCAACGAGAAATCCTCAAGAACATTAGCAGCTATAGAAGACTAAGAGCTAAACAAGTATTTTGTTAGAAAGGCTATGCAAAGCAAAAAACATGATTACAACAACACAACAAAAACTTATAGTCCAGGACATAGTTAAATGTATCAAAACAACAGAGTGCATGAATCAAAACACCACATGTTCATGTCCAAAACTAGTACTGTTTTCCCACCCCCAACCTAAGACAAAGATAATTATTGATTAGGTGATGGCTCAAGGCAACCTGGAAGGGAAAAATACCCCATTCCCCAAAATAAACCCCAACCAAAACCAGAAAAGCTGCTAAGAAAAAAACAATCTACTGATGGGAATCAACTTTGAAACCAAGACTATGAAAACTTATTTCATACACATTCATGCACACATATAGATATCAAGTCCTTGTCCATAAAATGAATTACTGAACTACAAACAGTTGAAGAGAGATATAAGATCACATGTTTGTACACCAAAATATCAAAGTAATATGAAAAATCTGAAATGCAGCATAAGAAATAATTTATCAAGAAAACCCAAAAACCCAACACAACCTGCTACCAAATGCAAAGTATAGTTCATTTGTATAATTAAGAAATTGAAGACACTTTGACTTTCTAGATTGCTACCCAATTTCCCAAGTACATCTGTACCACCGCTAACAAGGTTAGACTCTGCAAAGAGCAAAACTAAAAGATTCACATTCAGGAACATAAAAAGGTGGTAGTAAAGATTTACATTTAATCAAGTTACAACACATGGCAAGCAAAAGACAAGCTTTCCAAACACAGCCCCTTGATAAAAACAGATGGACAAGAGGGAGTGGGTTCTTAAGAGGCTACTAATTTTACTAACAAGCTAGTCATTAACAGATCTCAGAATACACAGGGGTTAAAGAAAACTGGGTGCTATCAGAAATATCATTGCTTTGGAAAGAAAGGAACTTAATTTTCACCAAGCCCTGCTTCTCTTGGAAGCAGGGCTGGGTGAAAAAAACAGTCCCAACATAACCATTTGATAAAAATGTGCAGCTGTGAGCATACATGTATAGCTGCGGGTTCAACAGTTCAATGTGAAAATTCTCTGTACCACTTGCAACAAGACTCAGGATAAAATTCCACATCTCATAAAACAAATTTGATGTGGCACCTTAACTGCACTGTAGGAAAAAGGCAGATTTTTAAAATAAACCAGGATTACTCCACTAGTTTGCATGATTATATAACCCATGTACCTTGTACGGAAAATACAGGAGACTTGCCCAATGTAGGTAAGAGATACTCTAAGATGCTGCAGGTAGCAGACAGCGTCTAGCTACCTGTAGCCAAGACTAAAACAAGAGATCATTCTAAAGCTGTCAATGGAAAGATTAACAGATCAGTTCATGGAATTTTGGGTTTGCCTCACTTACAATAAAGATAAACAAAGGAGTCACACAGAAGGAAATGATTGGCTCAGTCCAAGTAATAGGACCACAAAAAAACATCAAATCAAGTGGAGGGTAGGGAGTATGTGCCAAAGTAGGCTAACTATGAAGTACTGCAAATAAAGTGCTAAAAACACTAAATAAAAAGATGTAAAAAACCCACACACAACCACACAGACTTTAATTTAGCTATGAAATACCAGCATACAAAGTATAGCAGCATGCATGCACTGCTTTTGTGCCTTGAATAGTGCAACAACTAGAACTCAGCCACAGAAAATTTCTGACTGAACAAAAGTAGGTTTTCAGGGCTTATAATATAATATATTGCCACACATTACTAATGGAATAAGTCACTGAAAGCTTATGAATATACTTATTTAAAAGCAAAAACTTACAGCCACTGGATTATACAATCTCCAAAAATGTTTTATATAAGTATGCCAAATTCTAGTAAAGTCAGCAAGAATGAGTCTGACCCTTAATAAAAGAATGTTTTGAGAACAAAGCCTGTTCCTTACTGTACTAAATTTAAATATACCACCATCTGATACATAACACCAACTCACCAAGCCCTCACTTCAGTAATCTTGTCAACATACCACCAACTTTTCAAATTCAAGATTTAACAGGTTTCTCACACTGCCAACAGATAGCTAAGTCTGTTCTCAGAAGCATGGTGGGTAACAACAAAAACACATTCAGGATGGCTTTCCTAATCTAAGTCTGCTGCTTTCCTACTGTTATAGGAAAAAGAGTAGAAGAAAATACACTTTTCTGCCTGTAAACTGGCGTACTTTTAAGGATGTGGGCATGACTAGCTATTACCAGGAGTTCAAGATGAAGGCAAATAGAAACGTGTGTCTATAGAACTTTCACCACAGTGTGTCTTACATAACTTAGACAGTATCCTAAAAGTAATAGTTTCTGAATTTTTCCTGAAGCTGCAAATGGGAAAATTAAACCATGATAGATTGGTAAAGAAGACAGTATGTAACAGGAACACCCAGCATTGGCAGAGTTAAGTGACTTTCAAAATTATGTAAGTATCTAGATAAAGAGAAACTAGTCTAACTGCAACTTTCCGTTGAAAGAAAAGACTGAATGTGAAGTGTGAAGGGACAAAGAACAGGTTCTAACAGAGTGTCAGAAAACTCTCTCCAAGAAAACAGATTAGTCAAATTTGCAGTCTGTGCTTTGTTTGTACCTGCATAGACTTAATTGTCCAGAAATACACATTTTTTAGGGGTCACACATGCATATAGATAAGCTCAGTCTCAACAGTTTACCAAAGCCAAATTACTGAAAAAAAAAGTTGTATGCTGTTTTGGTGACTTTATTTTATTGTAACACCAATAAGCCACAGCATCACAGAAGTATTTTATTTAACCACCTCTTCATCAACAAGTAAAAACTTTTAAATAAAAGAACCTGTTGTAAAAGTTATCCTACATCTATGCACCACCCGCTACACAACTGCTTCATCATCCTTTTGCTCTCCAGCTGCACACTTACACAGACATTTTGAAGACCTTGCTCCATTACGCGAGGTGTGCATCAGTTGCTAAAAGAAGTGCTTCAGATACCACTGTGATCAACAGTTGCAGACTCTCATGCCTGATAAAACAGGTGCCAGACAAGGAGTCTGTGAGTTTACACTGCACATTTACACTCAATAAAATACAAAGTTTAGTTTCAATATGTCTTTATCTTACACGTTTTACAACTGTTTACCAGTTTGTAGTTTCCTTAACTTCCCGTAGAAAGGAGGAAATAAAAAACCTTAAACTATACCTTCAACAGCTTTTCCCTGGAAATAGGTATATGCGCACCTGTTTTGGGATATGTAGTCTAAAACAATCTCCTGGGAACAACCAGACACTAGCCCCTTCAGAATTCTTGTTCACTGACACAAGATAGTTTCATTCCCTCTAGATATTGCAGATGTTACCAAAATGTTAAAAGTTACTTACGGTTTTCCCCCAGGAATCCCTGCTAGATTTGGCGGGATTCCAGGTACTCTCATGTGAGGAGGAGGATCAAACCCAACCTGACAAGGAAAAATGAATTAATCTCACACTTGCAATTTCTCATTCAGCAAGCCCCTTTGCTTCACCCCTAAGATATTACGCACTTTACCAAAATGTAGCTTTTACCCACAGTATTATCTAAGTACACGCCCCTTCCTGGGGGTCGGGGGAAGAAGATGTGTTCCCTCGGCATGCTTCTGCTAGAATTATTCATATACAAATACAAAACCAATAATGTGCATTATGCATTCACACCCCTGAGCATAACACAAATGCCCCTGTGTTAGCATAGCCCCAGCCCTGGAATCAGAGTCGGCGGTGTGTCGGCACGCAGCCGCGGCAGCGCTCCTTAGCTCTGGCACGGCCGGCACGTACCCGTGCCGGCACAGCGCGGCGCTGGACAGCAGCTTCAGGCCCCAGCTGGAATCTCAGCGTGGCTCCACACGGCGCTGCACCGCGTGGGCACATCAGCCGAGGGATCTCTCACACAGGGTGCAGACAAATTTGTCCACAGCTTAAATATACTACGCTCTCTTTACATACTGCAATTCCACTAAACTTTTATAGCTTGAATAAATATGTACATCAAATAATCCAAACAGAAATTCTGGACTGAACACAGTTTTTCTTCTGAACACTATACCTGAGTTAAAATTCTTATTGCTATAAGGAGTGCATATGCCACTTAGAATTTCTACATTTTCACGTAAAAGCCCTGTTTACCAGTTTGAAAAAAGTAGTCATACCTACAATAATGAGAAGATTACAAGCTTCCATCCTGTTTTGCAAATTTACACATAGGTAAGTCTGTCTATGAATAAAGCTGCCGTCAAGCTCATGTTTGCAGAATCAGGCCCCTATGTTATTCCACATGACAGCGGCTATAACTACGGCTCTGTTTTCTTACTGCACCCCAACAGCAACTATTCTTAACACACCTTATCACAGAGCTCCAAGATATGTATCAACCAACTTCTCATGTTGATTTCCACAACAAACAAAATACAAGGACATAGATAAAAAGACTTCTACATGCTTCAAGATTAATTTAGTACATCTGTATGAAACACACATCTTGTTCAGCAAGAAAAAAGCACATGTCCACAGCACCAATGAAATACTTTGTAGCTACCAAAACTACCTTTTTCAATTAAAGCATAAAATAATTTTTTGACATTTATTGATCAGGCAAAGCACTGATGAAGGTGAAGAAAAAAAGGAAACATACATAAAAACACTGAGATTTTTTGTTTTCAAGGTGCAAATTTGTTTCTCCAGCCACTCAGCAAAGTGAAACACACAGTGAAGCTGTCAAGCTTCTGGCGCTACTATAACTTGGGAATTCGACAGTGCTAAATGAAGCATGTAGCTCTTTTCAGTGAACCACAACTCACATGACTGAGATTGCATGCAACGTATTGCCTACCATAGGAGATCTTCCATAGGCAACCACAGCAGCTGCAGCAGCAGCAGCACTCATCTGGGGTGACATATTGTGCAGACTGGCATAGGCTGCCCCGGGACTGGTTAACTCTCCGTTCATGCCAGCGTGAGGTACCATTCCAAATGGAGCAGGGTACGGTCCTGGTACTGCCAACGGTGTCCGCAAACCTGCAGCTATGGAATAATGAAGTCGGGTAGCTTTATTTATATATTCCTGCATACAGGGAAGGAAACAGCCCTTTTTTCCTCCTACAACACCTAACCTTCCCCTCTGACATACCTACACTGCTAAGAAACATTGCCATAATTTATCGGTACCAATGCCTGTTAATTCACTCAGCGTAAGGAAGATCTACTGAAGTCTGAACTTGCTGATTACTGCTAACAATCTCTTCTAGCACTACCTATTTCCATTTCTGTAATAATTCCATGTTTACATTAATCTCTCCTTTGCCAAATTAAGCAGTAAAGCTGACAGATATGGTTTACACAGCTCATGTCTGAAGCAACTGTGCTGTACCAGCCTGAATAGCAAAAGTAAACTTCCCCCTGCATTTGTCAAGATTTACACTGCAGCAAATATTAGTAGACTCACACAAAGAGCTGGAGGAAAGATTGCATTCAGAATATGTACCAGAAACTTCTGAGAAGTCTTTTTATATTGCATTCGGTCTCTGGATTATTTCAAAAAAGATAAAGACAAAAGTAAACAAAGAAGGATAAGAGATAGAAAGATATTCAAACTCTTAATAATCCAAACATCTGCTTCTCATCAAGCCCTCTCTTGATATCAAGAACAAAGCAATACATTTAGTTAACATTCGCACAGAACTACATATGTAAAAAAAAGATTAATTTTGGAACCATAAAAACACATGAGGTAATGCATTACCAGCTTGGTTAACCAGAGGGTCCATTGCTGGAGGCTTGCCAAGGCCTGGACGAAGTCCTGGAGTAGCACTAGTGCCTGGAGTTGGCACATCACTTCGAGGAGTTGGTGTGCTGGATTTCAGAACAGGCGTGCTGGCTTTTTCATGCTGGTATCATTAAACAAATTAAATGAGTATTATTTTTAATCCAGGCCATATTATACAATTTATCACAACAGCAGCTGGGATGCTGGGCACCTACTACCTAGTCCCTCAGCCAATTTTCATAAATCCACGCAATGCTGACAACATTAACTTGTGAGAGAGAAATGCTGACCTTTTTGATTGCTGCCAAAATTAAAATAAGAAAAGAATCACAGAAAGTTATTTTTCCTTCTTCCATTGGCATGAAGAAAAAAAAAAAGCTGAGCTAATTTTTTTTCAGGATAATACAGTATGCATCACCAAATTATTTTAGCTTGAAATCATTACTGTCTGAATTATTATTGGATGCAGCAAATCTAAGTACAAAATACCACCATAGTTGATAGCATCAAAAAATTGTGATGCAACAGCTACAGAGAATCTGATCCAATTAGTAGTGATACTGCAGGAAAAGTTTTCAAAAAGTAACAGCTTATTTAGAAAAGTTTAACAAAAGCATGGAGAACAACTTAGTAACTATATACAGACTACATTAAACCATCAGCTATTGCTCAAGAAAAAATAAACAATCCTTAAGTGACTCTTGTACTTTGTCACATATTTGCAACTCATCTGACAGAAATGTAGGAAATAAGAGAAATCAAAATGATGCAGAAAATATTGCTGAGAAGGAAAGCTGAATAATACCATACAGGTCTGGAAACACAGTAGTCTACTTCAGCTTCAAATGTTTAAAGCCATGTACTTTCTGACACAAGTAGTTGCAGGAGAATGGAGAGTTACACTTTACGAGAAAGAATAACATCTGGACATCAGACTTCTACCCACCAGACTCATTTCTTTGGACTTGAGGGAAGTGGAACTTCCTGAAGAGGCCGTAGATGCTGGACTGCTGGAGGCGTCTTTCTTCAGCAGGCGGGTTTTATCTATGCCATTTTCACGTGGTGAATGAGTGGGACTTGCCCTTGGGGAAGAAGGATCCTAAAAGAATGGGAAGGGAAGAACAGCACAGAACCGCGTCATGGGTTGGTACACAAACACCACTAAGGACTCTATGGGAAAAAAACTAGAGGAATTTCAGCAGTAAGTTCAAGTGACAAGACATTTTGTTATCTCTATAGAAAAATAATTCCTTCATTAATTTAGAGACATAAGTAAGTTCATATAGTAAGCAATCTGTTTTTTTTTTTTACACTACAGGTAATCATAAACTGTTTCCAAGCATAGAGCTTGCAATCTAAGTATACCTAAGTACAAACTAAGGCAAGTGTGCACGACACGTGATGAGAGCAAGACCAACAGTAACTGCAGTAAGTTTACGCTGTTTTTCCCATGTATGTTCTCCACGCGCTGCTAGTGAAAACGAACATTTCAATAATCTCCTTTAGGCCATACAAACCTTGCTCATCTCTGTCTTCAGAAGAGATAAAGACGCATGTTTTATACGCCATAGTATCTGTCACTTCTTTCTAAATACCATCTGCAATTGCCTCACTACTTAAATGTACAGGAAAACTGAAATCACCTCTCAGGTAATCATTTTTCTCTCTTCCAGAGGAACTCTCTGCTTTTACTTTAACCTGAAATAGCCAGCCCAGCAAGCTACAATGCCATCAGAGCTCTGCAGGTTCTCCATGTTCCTTTGGCTAATGAGAATAGCAGCAGGAAGGAAGCAGCCCTCACAAGAGGTAACTAAGTCTACTGATTGATTATTGAACAGTTTCATTCTAAGTAGGGCCTCTGAAAGGATTACGAAAATCCCTAGTTGGCTACCCATTTTTCTACTCGGCTGACATCATTTGGGCACTCGGAGCTGCTGAAGACACTTCTCTGTCAGCTTCTCTCCCTGTGCTTTTCACAGAGCAGAACCACCTTGATACCATACTGAGGCTTCCCAAATCTCCATGTTATATGAAATAAAAGATGAAGAACAGGAAAGGCCCATCCCTTCACCTTGATGCAACTGCCAAATCTCTGCCCTGGAGAAAAGTGGCTACAACCTCTGGAAAATCTTGTGAACTGACTGACTTCATTCTGACTTCTGCTGACTTCATTCTAAAAACCAAATATTTCTGGAAAATTCTGTCTTTAACACAGGACATTAAAATACTCATAATTTTTAAGGTACCAAAAATGGTTTTAATAATACTCCTACTATTAAATACAAGGTTAGGTATTGTCTTCCTTTTTCATTTGAAGACAGTAGTTTGAAAACCTCAGCTCTCCACCTGCATCTCACCACAACTCTCTCCACTACAGAGCAGCTGTGAAGCATCAGAACATGACTGCAGAGGGAACAGACCTGGACAAAGCAGCAGAAGGAAAAGCTGAGAGGGCAATCAGATAAAGCTCAGAAGAAGACATAGTAACTGCAGTACTAACAAAAAGGAGATGTTGTGAATATTTTAACATATCCACACAGAGGAATCTTTTTCTTCTAACATCTAAATGCACTTTTCCTTTAACCTTTGGGCAAATGTCAAGACTACAAAAATGAAAAAAGTTACCTCATTGGATACATCTACAACCAAGTTATCGTCACTCTTGTCCCCATCACTGTCCTATTAAAAATAAATAAATATAGTGTTCATTTCAATTAGTACATTAAGAGCCCAGAGAGAAAGACTACGCATCTACTCAGACATTTTTTTGTTTGTCCTAAACAAAAAGCAAACAGCCTTTCATTAACTTATTAGCAATAGGGAAAACAATGAAAACAGGAACACAACACCTTATTTCTGCTTCAGTAATAAAACCCAAATAATGTAGAACTAGTTGAAAGGTGGTGGTCTCACCATCAGGGCAAGATGGTCCAAAACCCCTCCTTATTACCATTGTAAACAGTGTTATCACTACTCCTAACAGAACGAGTTTCTCTTTTCATATACTAATCTTACTTGTTAATCTTACAAAAATCACTGCTTGTGCACACCTAAAGAAAAAAAACATCTCAAAAACCTGGAGCTTTTTGGCATTTGTTTGATGAATCAACTTCCTCAAAGTAATTGGATAATTATTCTCCTTTTCCAGAAAGGACGTTTTGAAATGGAAAGTTCTGGGGAAGAAAAAGCTTCAGAAATGCCAAGGCATTTCAACATTTATGCCTAACAAAGCCAAAATACTTTGACATTCCTAAATGGAAATGTTTTATTGTGGCTTGTCAAGCTGCATTTTGACTGTTTCACATAACTCTGTGTTCACCTGAGCTGCTCTACTGCCTCACAATAGTTGTTAGGTTACTCAAGTGCTTCCTGGTCCCTGTCTCTAAAATGGGCTGGGATGCCCCAGCAGACACATTCTATGATAGACAGTCATCTAGTGATTTCCACAGTGCACCATGGTAGTTCAATCAGAAGGTGAGTCTTGACTTAAAAACATCACCACCACCCCCCAAAAAAAAAATCAAATTAATGACAAGCTTAAAATTTTTGTGGGGCCAAGTTTGATATTTTCAATAACAATACTTTTAGTTAAAAAGTTTCTAGGCAAACAAATCAGACATACAAGATCACTCAAGCTCTGCCCCATCTCTTCCAGACAGAAAGTAAAACACTAGTTCCTTCCTCTCACTTCAGGCCATAATTTATTTAAAACAAAACAAAACAAAACAAACCACACAACAAAAAGACCCCAAACCAAAACAAACAAAAAAACCTAACAGGTAGTTTCAACCTTTCCCCTCTGCTTTAGCAGCTGAATATTGCTCCAAGAAATACTGCAGACATGTAGGGACCCAAGAGTGCCACTGAAGACAGAATGGTGGCTCTATTTGCCACTCAGAAAGCTGTCCAAACAAAGGGTGCAGAAGGAGAAGGAACAGGAAAGCTTCAGCACCATTTATCTGCCACCTCTTGAAAAGTATGAAGCACCCAGAAGGCAGTAATAGGTTAGAACACATTTGCACATGTGGGAGCACAGTAGATGGGACACTTGTTCACCAGAAATAGCACCCTTGAGGAGGGCAAAAATAGCTGCCAAGCAATGACTAAGTGCACGCCACTGACTTTGTCATCTTGAGAAACAGAAATTTACTGGGACTGTCAAAGGCATCTCCTATAGGTACTATTAATATCAGAAGATTCTCCTCACTAACAAATCCACAGGTTGAAACCATACAGGTCCTAACATGAAAATCAGTCAGAAGTCAAATTTTGCATCTTATTTCCAAAAGCAACAATTCTTACAATTCATTTATCTCCCTTCCTACAAAAGCAGCACTTCCTTGTCCCTACAAGGGCCTTATCTAAAATGAGCTCTAAATCAGCAGCTCTGTGTTTGCAGAATCAGGAAACCTTTAAAAATACAGATCTTCTTCCAGATTAGAATAAATCTGGAACTTTCAAATATCCTTGTTTTGCTCAATTCTTTATTTTGATGCTACCTTTATCTGTAAAATCCATTTCAAGCGAACAACAAACAGAGTGCCACATTTAAAGTGTGGATTAAAACAAACTGCTTCTGCACTGCAGTAATATCCTTTCTATTTCTTTCCAGTAGTAATACAAGAAAAACAAACAAGTCAAGCTTTTTCTTCCTTTTTTTTTTTTTTTTTTTTATCAAATGTAGCTTAAGAATGCTTTATCTTCAAATATTTAAGATGAAAAAAGCCCATGGAATATCAAACCCTCAAAGCTGAGGGAGTAACATGGGGAAGTTTGCCAAACCCTTCTGTAATCAAAACAAGATTATTAGAAAGTGGTGAAAATACAACTTGCAAAACAGTAACAGTACTACAACACCACAATGTGCAGAAAGGGGAAAGTAACCCCATCTACTGTCAGTAGCTCCGGAGATATCCCATAGCTGCCCAGAGACATTCTGGGTCCAAGCGGAAAGAAGTTACCCTGCCAACTACTGAGGAAATAAAGTGGCACTTGATTTTCTCTTGGATTTCAGTAACCAGGAAGTAATTAGTGATTGGATTCATATAAACCAGACAATTTACCACATTGTTATTATGTCAAAGAATAACATCTTCTGTTAGACTTAAGTGCTGCTTTTCAGTACGCTTTCACACCGGTTGTAGTCTCTAAAGCCTGTTAAAGTATCATCCTGTGATTTGGCTGAGCATTTAGACTTGAAGTGGAAACCCTATGTGAACCTTCTGAAGTTCACGTATGTCACACTGTTGTACTGTAGTGTCTCTGAAACCAAGCAACAAACAAGCTAGTCAAAAACGCAGAACACAAACTGTGAACTTTTTTGTATATCAATTTGCTTTGTGCTAAAATTGCCATATCAACTGAAAGCAATCTTTAGAAAGTTTGTACAGCCTCATAAAATACGCAGTTTGCAATAATAATTGTAATAATTACTCAACATGGTAATAGTAATACTAGAAAAACATACTACCCACCCACCACCCCCAAATCAACAAAATCCTCCATTCCAAACAAACCTGCAGGTTTTAGAGCAGTCCAGAACGGATCTCTTGCCCCAGAACACTCGAGAATCCCAAACAGCAACTCCAGGCTCATTATTCCCTGATGAGTAGTATTACTTGACAATAGCCCAAACTATTGAGTCACTACTCTTCCCACAACATGAATAATGGTCTCTCTGGCACAAATATTCATGTACTACATCAGCCATAGGAAACACATTGCCTTGCTCTTCACAGCTCTTTTACTCCTCATACAAGCACAGTGCGTGCAAATAAATTAATCATTTCTTTGACACAGATTTGCTTACATAGTGGCTGGAATCCTTATCATCCACCTTTCTCTTTTTGATGTCATTGGTATATTCAGGGCCATTCCTGCGTTTATCTGTGCTTCGTAGACTGTCCGGGACCAACAGAGAATTACTCTGTAAAGACAAAAACCAAGGTCAATCAAAAATTCCTTTCAAGATTCCTTCATATATACTTAAAAACTCAAATTGGAGGTGATAGATGCTTTAGAAATGTGATACCTACATAATCTCTCATTCAATTTAATTCAACTCAAAGTCCTCCAGGCAAACATGTACAGCTACATGCATTCTAAGAAGCTTGGATTTTTATTGTTCAACTTATCAACAGTTTAGTTCACTTGTCAGTCACCATCTATTTAACTAATTCAACTGAATGTATTGTTTAGGAGAAGCAGACTTGCTGTTTATTCATGAGCAGGTAACAATGATGTTTTTATTTATTTTTTAATATACAGATCCCATATAAAAGAGATTTACTCAATATAATCTGATTGATTGCTCACTTCTAGACCATTATAAATACATGAGGCTTTGGTATCTCTACACCTGCAGGCATGGACAGATATATGGCAACTCGCCTTTAACTCTTAAAATAACAAATATTTACCAAATAAGGTTATGCAGTTATCATTTGTTTGCTGCAGTAAACTACAGTTGGATGTCTTCAGCAAATGTATGGCAAACAAAGATCAAATATTTTTACTTCCAGCATAACATTCACTACTAGTGTGAAATTAAGGCTAAAGTGTTGTTTAATCAGACTTGATCTGAAAAACTAAGGCCAACACACACACACACACACACACACAAGACAAAAGCAAAGACTAATCTTTTCCTCAAACTACAGGGACTGCTCTCATTCATGCTAAGTTATGCTAAGTACAAACTGTTGACCCAAAGAGAAAGGCATTTTAGACATTTTTCAGTCACATGACAATTTGACATGCCTGCGATTCCCATCTCCGTCTCCATTCCAGCTAAAGCATTAAAACGTGTTACAATGAGTTCTTTTAAGTGCAGGATTAGCATATGCAAGAGGGCAATTTGTTCAGTGATGTGTTAATGCTGTGAACAATACTGAATGAGTTGAGAAAAAAATCTCCTTTCACAAAGACCTGGTAAGCCTAGTTCCTAAAAGCCAAGTACATGCTTACATAAATAAATATATGCTTACATAAATATATAAGTAAATACGTATTTACACACATACACGTCTCCCACAAGAGCAGACCTAATACCGACATATATACCATGATTTAAGTGTAAGCCCACAAAGGAAATACTTAGATCTACCCGAGACAGATATATTTACTCTTAATATATCATAAACATACACTAATAGCCAGTGAACTGTGCACTGAATGGCTTCCCCTTTAAAACCTGAGGACATCACAGAGGTTTCGTTCAGACATTAATGTTTAGTCCCAAGGAGAAGGAAAACAAAACAGGGTACATAAGGCAATCTGAATCCTCTTTTTCCTACTTCAGAAGCTGCACTTTAAAGCCAACTCTAAGCTCTTTTATTCATGACTATTCAAGCTAAACAAATGCCAAGGGGCTTACATAAAGCATATAGGAGGGTCTAAGGAAATTCAGTATAAAGAAGCTCAAAATAATGTCTTTACCGCAATGTTTTGCAGCTAAAAGATGGGCTTGTTGGATCACTGAACTAATTGCCTTGACAAACACAGTCCGAATTTAACCCCTCATCTCTTCCCAGATGCACACAAACTCAAGGATTCACTAGTTAGAAAAACATTAAAACTCATCTTCAGCATTTTAATATTGAATCCATCATGTCTGTAGCAGTGGAAACATCTCAAGCAGGGTATCAATTGAAACTTGACTACATGTTTCAGTACTGCAAATGTCTTTTCTTAAGGAGGAAAGTCTTTCAGTTAAGAGATACTTCCACTAACAAAAATCATTTTAAAAAATCTATTTTTAGTACTGAAGAGCTTAGAATAAAAAAAAAAGAAGGCAAATGTAGTAGAGTGAACAGACTCAGCTTCTCATTTTAAATTGGTAAAATCAAGTGTGAATAACAGAAAGGTGCAAAGGGGCAGCAGCTGGGAAAAATTAGCAACCCTGCTATTTGAAGTTACTACACAGAAATGTAGGGAACAGCTTGCAAATTCTGGCATCAAATATGTGTTAACTACAATGGGTGATAAATTTTTCTGGTTTAATGTGAAGTCTACCTAGACAATGCTTACAATATTCTGTACCGTTTGTCTTGCAGAATTTCAATACTACATTCATACTATATACTTAGGAACTCCTAGGTACACCTAGCTCCCACTGCGTGCTACAAGCCAAACAAAAATAATTAGATTTGATTTTTCCTTAAAAGGCTGACGGCTTACTTATCACATAAACATATAATTATAACAATAATCTATGGTCCTCACAAGCCTATTCTGCAAAGCATCTCCCCTGTGGTCCTATTTACACTGCCTTTCTCTAACTCACCACATCCATTTAAAAGCACCATTCTCTGGAAGTAGAGCATCCATGCCAGAAGCTGTTGTAGAGCCACTTATTTCACACTAGCTATACTGACAGTTGCAAATAAGATCGTGCTGTTACTCTGGCAAAATTTACCAGTAAACTCAATAATTTAAAAGTTACTGTTTTGTTTACCTTAGGAGTACACGGAAGTTCTAACAACTGTGACTAAAATCAGGTAAGTATAACTTCTGATGAAAAAACAGCTTGCTACTGTAACCTACTACCATAATTCAAACCACCAATTGCATAGTATTTCATTCAACAATATGAAAATATGCATCTTTTTACGCTGTGCATATGGTAGATCCAGAACACTAAAGTAACAAGGAAATAAATGCAAATACAAACAAAAACTGGGAAAGAAAAGATCATATAAGCCTTGGGCTGGTGACATCTCTTACTGACATATTGTTAACAGGGAACAGTGAGGACAGCCTACTACAACCACCTTTCCTCATTTCAGCTCCGGCAGAGTTTATATTTGCTACATGTTCGCTATTAAGCATAGGGTTAGCTAGGAGATAGCAGCAACAGCTTCACAATGATACAAGTTCTCCTTATCTTCCCTTTAACAAAAATAATCCATTTACTTCTTCTACCAGGCCTACTAACATCAGACTTATTTTCAAAAGTAGGCCAAGGTGGGCTTTTTTTATTTTTAGCTATAATATTTGTGTAAATTTTTTTAATACTACAGAAATTTTCCATTGGGATTGATCTTCAATAATAATCAGTTCGTACAAAAAGGACAAATATATATATACACACACATGCATAGTTGATTTCCTAAAGAGAAACTGCATGACACCAGTTTTCATTTTGTCTTAATTTCAACAGACTAGATGCATAATTGAGGATAATCCTTGCTTTCATACTAGGAGTTCAATTTATTAGGGATTACCAATGCAACATCTGTAAATCATGAATCTCAGATCAGAACAAATGGTCAAAATCAATTTTATGTAAATGTTTTCTTTTTCTTCCAGTAATTCAAAATTTATTCACATTAATCCCTTTCCTTCAAATAAGTCTCTAAAGAAGAAAAAAAAAAAAAAAGCCTAATGTAACACTGCTTCCTGTCAGAGTTACCAGACTGCATAAGGGCTGCTTAACAGGCAACTTGGGATCCTAAAGCAACTTTGCTGCCAGCAAAAGTTAAACAGTGAAACCACCGGCAGCAAACGTGAAACGAAAACCTAGTCATGATGCACAGAGAGAAGGCAGGTTCCCTATTAGGAATATAACACACATTATTCAAATACACTTCTTCAACTGCCACGCCGTTCCCCATAGGAACTACTTCCAAACCACAAGTATGTGTGCCAGAGGTACAGGCTGAGAGCCCACAGTATCTCATTTAGCCCCAGTTATAATAATAATAATACAGCACAGACAACTCACTAGAACATACAGAACTGACAATTAACTTTATGCTGATCATTACGGCAATTAAACAACAGTATTTACATCGCATCTGTGCTCATGGTTCAACTACACCTGGTCCCAATTAAGATCTATTTCCCCTAGTGCTGGGCTCCTTATCCCCCCTGCTCCCCTCTCCCTGAAAGACAGGCGGGCACACACTTGCTCTGTGCTTGGCCACTCACTGACTCGCTGTGCATCCCAAACCAACTGCACCCGCCTGCCGCTGCAGCCAGTTATTTCAGCTGAGAGCCAGCGCTTCCCCGTATCCCCAAGCAGGGTGGCTGTGTTTATTTAACCACTACACTGGACCTGCACCGCCGCACCACGCACAAGTGCTACCTACAGATACCCATACGCTGGCAGGCACAAAGGCAATCCCTTGTTGAGCAGGCAAAACAGGATCAAGTCTGGCATCTACAACCAAAACATTAGTTATCTGCGGTCCCATGACTCACTGATAGGAATAACTAGCGCTTAACCACACTCCAAGCAAGGCACAAGAAGATTGCACTCAAAAGTTGTTCAACTCAAGAATCATTAACTTCCATTTGTTCAATACGTTTCTTGCAAACACACGTCACCAACCCAAAAGTTGACTTACAAAGTCAGGAGGTTTTAATTTAAATTACCAGTGATGAAAAGCTACTGACTTCACCCTTTTTTCACCCACTATTGTAAGTTGTATTTAGACTGGTATGTTCATATTAAGAACATGGAAATCTAGATGCCTAAATGAATTTGAATCACTCTCCACATTGATTCAATAACTGGGAGACACTAACAGAGGATAAGGTTGATTTCAGCATTTTCTACCTAATGTTTGTTAGAATCAGAGTATCCATAAAAATGTATATGAGAACACCCCAATCCTCCTGTCCTTGGTCATCAGCCTCATGCTGCTTTCTGTCAGCTACAAACTAAACTGCAATGCAGCATCCCACAGCTCTTCTGTGCGAGCAACTCCTGCTGAAGCTAATTTGTGGTTTGCATCCATAAAGACTGTAAGATTTACCTTACTTTTAAGTCGACACAGCAAATAAAAGATATAACCAATTAAAGAAATTAAAGTTTTTCGATTACAAGCTATATAATGGAAAATAATACTTTCTTCACAAAAGCCAAGAAGCATACTATACTGAAGAGTGCTATACTGAAGAGTACCCTACATTTTCATAGAACTCGTTTTATGATTTTCCTCTCATTTAAAAGAATTAAAACTCAAAACAAAAACAGTTTGCATACAATATCAACCAAAAAGTACCAGTCAATTGTGCCTGACCCCTTCCTCCAAGACTGGGAGGGAAAGAATAGGACAGAGACCTAACAACACAAGAGTATTTTTCTGCATTAAGAGCATTTGCTTTATAAAACAATAGCAACATTTATGCTTAACAATGAAGGCAAAAAAAAGGAAAAAAAAAAATCTTACTTCCTAAATATTAGAAAACAAGTTCAATGTTTTTCATGAGGACAAAAGATAAACACCAACCTTAATGTAAAACCCAAGCACATACTGAAGTCAGATTTCACTGTCTACAAATTATTACTGATACTACAGAGCACTTCAGAACATTTGAATTTCTATACTGTCCTAACAGGATACTAGAACAGAGGGAAGACAAGTGACAAACGAACACCTAAGATGAGTTTGAAAAATGTTGCTAGTATGTTCCCTAGACAAAAAAATGTGGACATCAAAGTTCTTTTGTATTGATGACTCCCAAAACTTTATTAAGCTTCAGTTGCAAAACTCACTTTGCCTGGCTTCATTACCTGCCAGACTGTCACAATAGTAGGGATGCCTGCATTCCCACAATAACATGACTCAGTTTTGGATGGTTACAGTTACATCAGCCAAAATTCCCGTGCCATTATCCATGTAGTCCTGTAATTTAATTTTGACCAAATAATTTTAGCAGTTCATCTATGAAGTATACTACTAACTTAAATGTTATATATTTCACAAACATGGATTTACAAAGAACTTCCTTTCATTTTACCTCCTGAAACTTTAATATAAAAAAGAAAAACATAGCCCTTGCCATTTAGACATATCAAAAGTAGCTAAAATGGACACTGATCACAATCAAGAATGATGAAATCACTGCATCTTTATATTCCTTTATAAATACATTAATCTCACTGCTTTATGAAGTATGTCTAAACATACAAAACACAAAAGCTCATGACTGTGCATTTGTCTAAGGAGACTTTAAAAAAAGTAAAACCAGATCTCATTTAAAAATGAATATGCTCAAATAATATGCCACAATATGCTTTAACTGAAACTTACATAAAAACCCCTCCATTTAAAACTAAATAGGCAAGTGTTAAATTTTAATCTTTCAAACTTGCACATTTAAAGCTGTCAGCTTCTACTGATGATACTGGAAGGTCACACTAGACATATTTGATGGAAATCATACTGTAAAACTGCACAGTAAAATCAAATACCACTGTTAATTTAGGTAACTAACAGCATGGGTTTTGGTGTCTTGGATGATGAAAGCAGGCCTTTATCAACGATTTCTGGCAGCACAATTACACTTGAAATGTTACTCTGAAAATCAAATTGATCTTATCTTGGTGACCCAGATGTTACAAACTAATGTGCAGAATAAAAGCCTACTGTTCAGTTGGAACCACATGTAATAATTAAACAGACCTGTTTGTATGACTTGTGTACTTGTGACCAATTTTATATTATCCTTAAAAATATATTTTAAATTAAAAAAAATCCATTAAAAATAGAAGATAATTACAGAAGTTCAAAGAGCAAATCATTCCCAGATGATCATTTTAGCCACAAATTTGAACTTGACTATCACTTGAATTATGATTCTTTCATTGAAAGTATCATTTACTGTTAAGCCAAGATTCTAATGCAACACTGTATTTAAACAATTTTCAAGTTTAAGTTCACCTGTATTCAGCTATTAAAGTGTAACTGAATTAGGAAGTATTATTCTCTGCTGGGACCAAAAGAAACTATGGCCACCACAGTGTAGTAACGTCAATGCATTATATCCATATGGCAAAGGTCTTTTATGAAATAAAGCCTCAGGTTGTTTAAAGGTTACTCACTGGTAAACCCAGCATAAAAAAAAAACCTACTAGAGATAATAACCAAGCAATCATGAGTTATGCACATGGAGACAGAAGTAACTGCAGTGACAATTTTATGTATTTAATTAAATAAAATTGACATATATAGTAAACTAAGCAAGTGGTATTGCAAATCTCCCACTACACAAAAGCCAGGTTTAGTTTTTGAAGTTCTTCTTCCATAGGCAAGAACTACTCTCAGCTACAAGATGAATTCACAGCCTGAATTGCACAATGCTGTATAGCATCTGATTTTAAACCCAAAAACCCGTTAGCAAAGTACATGATGGACAAGGCAGAGGAGGATGGGAAGAGAACAAGGACAGGAGACATAACAACCAAAGCAAAACACAAAGCCATCACTCCCACATCCGCACACGTGTGTGCACACAGACACGCACTGCAAACCTCCTTCCTTAGCTCTTAGGGAAAAGTGGTTGAGAATCCTGCACTTCACTAACATCACTCAAACTTTTCCTAGCTCTTGTTTTTTCTAATCAAGAAAAAGAAACAAAACAGATCCCAAATTCACTTATGACATCAACAAGCAGAATTAGGTTTGCTACTTGAAATGATGTGAAAGTTGCACATGCCCACCTCCAACAGATTAATATAGCAATATCACTGAAAACACAACAGTATAAAAAATTGTAACAAAGTATTTCTTTGGCTGGTTTTCAGATTAGATTGTTTTAGACCAATGCTATTACAGCTTACATCTAAAGGGGAAAAAAATATTGCTATGGAAGTTACACCTGAAGCACAAATTAAGCAGTAAAGACAGTAGTACAGCTTAAACAGATTCAGTTAAAGACAGTCCTAGGGCCAAACACTGTCACGACACATGAATTTTAAATTTCTCACCTGTTCTGCAACTCTTAATTCCTGAAAATCCTACAGGAAAAAAAACCTTAACTTTGACTAATAATGTTATACTTTAAGTTGCAGTCAACCTTCTGTTTGATTTACAGCTTCCCCCCCACCCCAATAAACAAACTAAAATTCAAGCTTCTGCAAAATCATTCTTCTCAGAAACAAACCTGATTCATACAGTCCTCCAAACAAATGAGTTGGTGTTCTGCATAAACCAGGAGATATCTTAACAGAAAACACATATGCCTAGTATCATGAAACTGACTAAAAGGCAAAACAAACAATGCAAGGTCTGGTTATTACGTTATGTAGAAGTGGAAACATTAGTAGGAATGTTGGTACTTACTGTGCCCGGCTCTCTGTCTGCTCCCGCAGTAACCAAGAAATGCACAGACATGCCCGTTCAGACACAGAGGCAAGAACAGAAATAAAAAAGGGGGGAAAAAAATTAGAACACAAGCCGCGAACAGTTTTAAAATGGCTTTTATTTATATAAGTCATTGCACATTCCTAATACAGTGATTTCCTGAAAATTACAGTATTTTGTAAACATGATTTACAGTTTAACCATACACAAAGCCTAGTTTTATTTCATGACAGAATAAATTATTTTCTTTTCAAAAATTAGTCAAGTGCAATTTTGCCCAATATTTAATTGCGTACTAGAATTTAAGCCTATGAAACTAAAGTAACAGATGCAATTATCTAAATCTTTTGTTTGAACACATTCACTTCAAAATTTAACTTCTCATTCCCCCTACCTTCCCACCCACCCATTTAACAACAGTACTTTCTTTGAAAAAAATTACCCACTATGCATTTTAACAGTTTTCCACAACATGGTGCAGGCCACTGGTGTTACAACTAAGCATTTACCAGGATGTCAAAATGCCCTGCAAACCGCAGAGCATGTGACGCCTAGTGATCCCCTTTTAAAATACTGAAAACTTCAAAGCTGAATTTTGTTTCAGTGGTATATATGCAGACATTTTTAAGTTTGCTAACAGTTTTTTCTCATTCTATGTAACTTGAATTCTTTAGAGATGCACATAATTTGCAGCAACGCGCAAATTTGACAATGTCCTAATCAGGCCTGCCATGCCTCTCACCTCTGTGGTGTTCTGCATCGTGATGCTTCTTGTCATCTTTTATTGCCAAGTGAGACTGCCCACCCAAAGCACTAGAAAGGGCAAGAAGGCCAGCACTGCTTCCAAGTGGAGGGATTCCTGGAGGCTGGAGTCCTGATGGATGCGGTGTTAGAGGCACTGGAGGTCCATGGCCATGGGAGAGATGCTGAGCCTGCAACTGCTGCTGCTGTTCCCAGCAGTATCATCATCCCCAGAAGAACAACACAGCACATAGTTTGGGAAGAAAAATGGAGAAGTTTGGTTAATTGTTGAGAATCAACAATGGAGTTTGTCATTTGTTTGTTTGTTTTAAATCTAGCCCCTCCTCTTTGTTCCACCATTTTATAGATGCTGCATTATATCATGCTGTCTGTGCACAGCTCTGATCATGCCCCATAAACCAAAAAAAGGCTAGCTGGGTAGTTCAGCAGCCTGAGGAGCAGGTTCAACTACTAATAGGTTGTTTTGGGCAGCAACTGCCTGCCATGGCATCACCGGTGACAAACAGCCAGCAACAGCAGAAGGCCCAAATACCTTTTCCTTTCTATAGAAAGGAGTATCATTGCTCTGGGGGCTGGGGGGCGGGGGAAGTTTCACTGACAAGACTAATTTAAACTCACCCCCCTATTGTCCCCCAATTTGGAAATGATAAATAGGTTTCTATTTTGAATATTATAAAATCTAAAGGACATTGCTCAATTTCATATTTAGTGTAGTTAAATTTGTATTTTATTCTAGTCAAGCTTTTGAAAAGAACAACAAAAAAAAATATGTTAATGAACTAGCACTGTGTTTAGAAACCAACTATGAGCTTAAAATCCAGGTATTCCAAATAGCATCTATAAGGTCATGGAATTCCCAACAAGATATGGTATTCATGAATTAAAATACATCCATTTGTTTCAAAAGCAGCTTGCAAGATCAGTGTCATAATGAGCAGACATACAACCCTGTAACCAATCTGGCAAAATAATCTGTAAGCAATTTTAGAAACAGAGCCCTTACAATGGAATGACTTCTGCACAGTAAAAATATTAAGATATTTTCTATTAAAGCTGTTATGGTTCGATTAATATTTTCCAAGTTCAGCTAACCATTTAATTTGTCCAAAATGCTCAGCAGAGATTTATTTAGAAGATTTAACTTCAAAACCATCTTTAGCTTAGTCATATCTCCCCTTTAGTCTGCTACAGGTAAACAGATTTTCTGCCTCTTTCCTGCTTCCTTGTGCCTGGGTGTACGAAAAGAAGACAGAACAAACCTCTGCACCTTGGCCACGCTCCACCATCCCTCTGTTGAAGGTAGATACCATGAAAAAATCTAGAGTACCACCCAATTCGTGGGATAAAAGAGAAGACAGAGAACCAAATGTCTGAACAGGATGCCTCAGCTAGACGTGAGAGTTTGACCTGGTGAATGCTAGTGGTCCTGTAAGAGCAGGCAAAATTGTTACAGTACTGCTGACAGGTACTGAATTTATACCTGGACTAAAGCTTACAGTATTTGACAAATTACTGCAAAATAACTCAATTCAAAATAATCCTAAAGTATTTTATCTGCTTTCATAGGTCCCAAAAACTCTTCAAGACAAACTGTCAACAATACCTGCATAACATCTTCTGGCATGTAAACGATTTATTACTATTTAGATAACTACTGCTCCCCTATACTTTTATTTCTCATAACCCCACTCCATGACATGCCTTGAGCTGTTTATAAGTTTATGTAGACACAAGTGACTGACACTGAAGAACTCTGGACTGTACCTGCTAATCTTTCACTTTTCTGCTGTCCCAACCATAATGCAGCCATCATTTACTTACTTTTGATATACAAGACAAACATTAAAATTTACTACCATCCCTTTAGTCAATTCTATAAAGCCACAAGTTTACCAAATCTTTCTCACACCATGTATCAGCAATTTCTTTTCACATGCTGCACGAAAAGCCTACTGTAATACGTACATCTGATCACTATACTTGCTAACTTTTCAGTATGAAGAGAGAGGTACCTCTTATTCTTATGTTTTAATGTCTGTACAACAACCCAAAAAGTAACTTTTTGAAGGAAGTATTAAGAATTATTTTTATCTGAAGTAGTTAAAGCAGCAGACCACCTTCTACAAAATCAAGCAGCTATTGCTAGTGAAACTTAATTTAACTGAAGAAGTATCAGCAAAGAGCACGGTAAAGTCTGACAGTGCTGCAAGGTTTTTGTTGTTTGTTTTGTTTTATGATCCAGCCTCTAAAGAACAAGAGGTAATCTCTCCTCTCTCAGACTTTATCCAGACTTTAGTAGTTTCCAGCATGTTTCCTCAAATCAGGAGGTAACCTGATGTTTTGGGAGGCTCTCTCAAGAGAGATGGTATCTTAATTGTTCCCCTCCTCATTTACCCCCTAAGCCAGGGCAGTTGTCTGCACTCAGTACTGTACTGCATTCATGGCATTGGTCTTGAGTGTCCCCAGCTGCACTATCACGCTGGATTACCTAGCTGTGGTGCGCAATTGGCTAAGAACAAAAAGTGATTTGTCCCTTTCAAATTGGTTTTGTGGAGAAAAACCTCCTCCCTTCTCCAACACCGAGCTCAAATTAGCTTCTTTTGCTGTGTGGGCATGGGAAGGTCAAAACAGGGAAATGAAGTTAAATTGTTTCCATTCTTGTCCATATCCCTTCAGGAAGCTTGTGAAGATTCCTTTTATTCATGCCTCTCTTGCTTGGTTTAATTAGCAAACAAGTTCACCCACATGATTTCAGGAAGCATAGCTTAACCCTTAGAAATCAAACTGTTAGGGACACGTTACCTACAATTTCCCTGGCTCTGCTTTGCAGCCCACACACAGGGTATCGTGAAAGTCCCAGAAACGAGGAAAAGATTGATCCCCTCTAACAGGTTCTGAAGCTGAAAGCACGTGACGAGAAAGGCTGTGTCCTGTTTCTCTGATGGGACTGCACACAAACGGTGGGGAGCAATGCCCACTGTAAGGTGTAGAACGGAACACGAGAGCTGGAAGTGGAAACGCATCACCCCTCACAACATCTTAGCAGCTTTGCAAAATGGTTACTGAGAGTAGCAGAGGAAAATGATACCCAAAGATGCTTAAATATCCAACTACATTAAACAGACTTAAGACTGAAAACCCAATCGTGGTCTTTTAAGCCAACAAAAGTATATTCTAATTTAATGTTTATTATCTGAGGCTCACTGCTGTTTAAGAAAGAAGTATATTCATTTATTGTTTATATATTACCTATTCATAATAGGTTTAAAGTTCTCCCTAACAAATAGATAAAGATGATCCTTTCCAGAAGATCATGCTTTTTTTATTTAAAAAAAAAAAAAACACTTGAATTGTTAAAAGTATATTGTATTCTCTTTCTAGAAGGCGAAAAGGGAATATGTGCTGTACACAAAGGAAGAAACTAAAGACCAGGGAGACGGGTAACAGCAGCACTCACCAGACGTATTTAGTAACTAGGCATTTGCCATAGTAGATCCTAGAAACAATTATGTTATGCATATAATCACTTTCCCGTCACTTCAAAGACACTAATGCCTGCTCTGTCACCTTTTAAAAGCTTAGCAGCAGTGAGATATAAAACGGAATAATTTGGCAGCCATATCATGGTCTACTAGGCATGTTCATTAGCAGTTAATTAAAAACTAGACACCTGCCATAAGAAATGTGCTCAAAAAAGGATGAGTAACAGGTCTGTCTTACTACCAATTATTATCATTACTTGCAGAGCAAGGGCTGTGTCCACTTTCAGAGGGAAGTGGGAAGGTGGAGAAGAGTGCAATGATGCATACATAAGTGACTGCACTGAGATAATTAGCCATAGCAGTGCTTTTAAAAGCATCAGTAGTTCACCCACCATTTTGTTGCAAAAACAGAAGTTCTCCATATTTGCAAAGGGAGAAAAGGAATGGCAAATTCAGCTTACTGTACTGTCTAGGTGTAGGTTTTATTACCTCAAATTTGTTTCCCAGTATCCCCCTAAGCAGACTGCAAAGACCCAAAAATCAACATATAAAAAACACAGCACTTGTTTCTCTAAGCAAGAACCTCATAACAATTTTAAAGGCATACAGTTTTTCACCTATAACATCCTAGGCAAATTCCAGCTATAAAGAGCTCTTTAACTAGGACTTAAAGTTTGGAATGAATTTTCAATCTCTGCCAGAGACTTCCAGAGACAGGTAGGCAGTCTTTGTGAAACAGATTTCCTATACATAAACAATGACGTCTCCTTTAGGCTCTTTGTTTGTCAAGATAGACCATGAGCTCCTACAATCCCTCTGCCCACCTTAAAGTAGCTCTGTTGAGGTCACACACACCTACGGCTTACTTAAAAATCTAGTTTTGAATTCCTAGCATTAAAAAGTATTCTTCTCTTCTTAAACAGATGTGTGATGTACATTTCAGTATCTGTTGAAAAGCACTGAATTAAAAATTCAGATGTGAACAATTGTACATGAACAGTGAAAAATGGTTATACCTGGTCCCTGGTCTCTTGTGGCCTTCTAAATAAACAACTAAGAGTAGAAAAAGTTTTCAAAAATCTTATCAGCACTAGCACCAGTAATACTATCAGCAGATTCCCCCAAGCTCCAGAGAAGTGTTCCGAAAAAATATCTGGCAAGCACAAAAGTAATTTAGAGACCTAAAATGTAAAGGGCATTATTTCATGTCAACTTCTGTAAAACTGAAGAAATGTGATTTTGTTAAACTCAAGCAGGCAGAAAGACATGAGAGAAAAACATGTATTACTGTGTTCAATTTCACTGCCATATTCTCTCCCTTCCCGAAGGGAAATCTTCAGGGTTTTTTTTTTTTTTTGCTTGCTTAAGTAGCAGAAGGAAGTGAGAGCCAGTATCGAATGTCTATGGCCAATAACCAAATGAGGGCCACTGTCTTGAGTGCATGCAGCTAGCCAACCTAGCAATAACCTCCTTCCTCACTGTTTAGAAATATTCTTAAAAACAACATTGCAAATGTAACCTTCCAAAAGGTGAAACAACTCCAGACAATGCTCCTGCCAGATCCAGTCCTCTCCCTCATTCTAAAAACCAAAAAAACCACCAACCAACCCCCCCCCAAAAAAAAAAAACCCTGCACACACCACTCACGCTACCAACAATCAAATCTAGCAGGAAAAAATCCATTAGACAGTCTAAGCCATTAA